TTTAGAGATAATCCTGGTCGTGTTTAATTGCCCCAACCCGCCTTGTCCTTCTGTCTTGAAGGCTTGGGTTCAATTCAACGATCAAACCAAGGTCCTCTTTGTGCCTCTTGTGCCTCAGCACCCGATATATCTTACAGCAGTTAATTACGCTCAAGTGGAGTGACTATTTTGGTGGCAAAAAGGGGGAAGGCCCCCCCCCCCCACCCCCCCACCAAATTATCAATCTTACTCTTGTTGGGGTGAAATTAGTGTCAGCTTAGCTCAGTTGGCAACACCCCCCTCTCTCTCTCTCTCTCTCCTCCAACTCAGAAGGTTGTGGGTTTGAACCCCCCCCACCCCCACCCCCACATGTCACGACTTATAGCTCGCGGTCCGGGCTGACACTCCATCCCGGCGCTGGGGGGGGAGTGTCGCATTGTTGGCGGTGCCGCCCTTCAGGTGAGGCATCAGAACCGAAGTCCAGTCTTTGCCTGTATTTATGTGTTTATTTAGGAGGACGGGGGGGTGGGGGGGTGTCTGACACACACGGAAACCCATCACCATTGTTGTTAAACCCAACTGAGAATTCCCCGCATCCCCTCCTACACCTGGAAACCCCAGAGAGAGATTGTTGGAGTGGAATGCGCTCTCTCTCTCTCTCTCTCTGTCTCTCTCTCTCTATCCCTGGAGGGAAGATCCTGTTTACCTAATTGCGGAGAGTATTAGGTGCAGGTTGGCAAGAGCCAAGGCTTGTCAGGGCCAAACCTTGGGCAAGTTTCCTTACTCCACACAGAGCCTAATAATAATCCTCCAAATCCCAAAACAATAATAAATTGGTCATTTTCAATCTACGACTGTTTGTGGGACATTGCTGTGCGCAATTGGCTGCCGCGTTCGCCCACAAATATACAGTCAATTCACTTTACAGTGTGTTCTGTGAAGCGCTTTGGGACGTCCTCCCGACGTGAAAAGCGCTATATCAAATGCAAGGATTATTATTATTATTATTATTATTATTGTGGGGGGGGAGCCCGGAGTGTGCGTTGGGGAGAGCTAACCCCCCAAAACTTGCTTGCCGGTGATATCGCTGTCTGGCCAAGCTTTCCCGCTGCTTGCCAGCCAGGACCGCCCTCCCCATTCGGGCTTGGGCTGCAGCAACTGGACGAACATGAACGTTCATCCGACCTACACGCGGGGATCCCACGATAAACTTAAATACTAATTTTAGTATTAAAGTGAAGGCGAATGTTAAAGATCCCGCGGCTCTATTAGAAAAGAAAAGGGAGTTTTTCTCGCTCTTTCTCTCTCTCTCTCTCTCACTCGCTCTCTCTCTCCTGGTTTGTCCTGGCCAACACTCCCCCCAAATAAAATAAAGCGCTTTGAGACGGTTCAACGACGTTATAAGGCGCTAAATCAAATGCAAGGATTACTATGATTATAAGGTAAATCAGCGAAGGAATGGAGGTGAAACTGGCACCCACCAGATAAAATTTATAACAATAATACTATTTCCATTTGAGACTTTGAGGCGTCTTAAAGCGCTTCACAGGATACACTGTAAAGTGTAGTGACTGTATATTTTGCGGGCGAAACGCGGCAGCCAATTGCGCGCAGCAGCGTCCCCCGCAAACAGCCGCGTAGTGAGCGAACGAATTATTTTATCGATTTCATTTTTGGAAGGAATTATTACCCTCTGGAAAGCGATCCGCCCGTCGACTAACAAGCGGGTTCCTACTTACTGGTGGGTACAGAGGCGCGCGCGCGCGTGTGCGTGTGTGTGCGTGTGTCTGTGTGGAGTAAAGGAAACTTGCCTAACATTTCGCCCGGTCACGGAATCAAACCCAGGTCCTCTCGCTTGCGAGGCGAGTTCTCTGACCACTACGCCTCAAAACTCCACCACGTAGGTCCCTTTAAGAAGGGACCACCGGACCCACCCCCCAGATATCAGCACCTGCTCCAAAACCCAATCCACATTTGGGTTGGTTATTAAATTCCCGAGTAGACATTAAACCAGGGTCGTGTAGGAGAGAGAGAGAGAGACACAAACTACAGATCAGGGCTCAACATAATCTGCCCTGAGGGCGAAACAGCTGCTGGGATCTGATCGGAAAGCCGTCTCGCAGCTTCTGTTTCCTGCCCAGTGCATCTAATCTCTCAGTACATCAGGTCTTCGCTCGCACAGCACGGCCTCTGATGGCATAATTAAAGGCCATGTTTTTTTTTTGGGGGTGGGGGGGGGGGGTCAGCCTCAAATCCGTGGCTTTTATCCTCAGCCTAACGGCTCTCTCTCGCCTCCCGAGTCAGAAGCTTGTGGGTTCAACCCCCCACGTCAGCGCTCGGAGTTGTTACACAGCCTAAGCTGATGCTCCAGCCCAGCGCTGGGGGTGGGGGAGTGGGGGGGGGGGGGTGTTGTATTGTCGGAGACCCCGTCTTCGGATGAGACGTTAAACCTCACTCCCCGTCTGCCCGTTCAGATGGACGTTAAAGACCCGCAATGCTATTGGAAAAGAGAAGGGTTTCTCTCTCTCTCTCTCTCTCCCGACAATCCCCCAAATAAAATTGGTCACTCAATCCATGGCTGTTTCTGGGACACGGCAATGTGGGCAATTGGCTGCCGCGTTTCTCCCCCCACGAAATACACAGTCACTACACTTAACAGGATCTATCCAGGCTTTCAAGCCTGAGGTGGGTAGATGTTTGTTAGGTCAGGGTATCAGGGGATCCAGACAAGGGCAGGTATTTTGAGGACAGATCAGCCGTGAGTTTATAGAGTTTATAGAATGCCGCAACAGGCTCGAGGGGCTGAATGGCCTCCTCCTGTTCCTATGTTTCTACGTAACCCAACAGTTTGGTACTCATCTATTGGTAGAAAACAGTAGTCAACGACGGTCAACGGCGCCCTCTGTGGGACATAACCAAAATTACTTTCCCCTTTATTTTCCTCTTGGGGGGAAAAATTTTGGTCACTCGATCCACGACTGTTTGTGAGACACTATCGCGCACAATTGGCTGCTGCGTTTCGCCCACAAAACACACAGTCACTACACTTGACAGTGTTAGCTTGTGGAGCGCTTTGAGCCGACGCACCGGCGCGATAAGGCGCTGTATCAAATGCAAAGATTACCGTTATTTATTCTGATCATATGTGGGACGTTTGCCTACAGAAATAACAGTAAAATCAACTGAAGCGGTTTGAGACATCCTCCTGACCTGAAAGGGGCTGCATCGAGTGTAGGAATGATTATTTTATTATCATCGGTGAACTCGTGGTTCTGAGATGGGGGCTCGAACCCGCAACCTTCTGATCCCCAGAGCTGTGAGTGCTACCATCTGAGCCACGTGCCCCAGTATTCACACGTGACCTTGGACACTGAGTGCCAGCAGACTGTACACAGCTATATATCTTCACCTGCCCTCACCTAACTCCACCTGCCCTTACCCGGTCTCACTTGACTTCACCCGGGAACATAAGATTTTTTCTTCTCCGCTGTGAACGTGCCCAGTTCATCTAATCGCTCCTCGCAGTCCAGTCCCTCCTTCCCCTCAATCAGTCTGGTTGTCCTCCTCTGTATCCTCTCAATCGCTGCATTATCTGACCTCACCTAACCCTACCTGACCTCCGCACCTCCCAGCAGACACATCTACAGATAGAAACCATAAGTCAGAGCCCCAGGAGGTTGACTTTAAAGCCCTCCGTGGCCTTGCTCCTCCCTCCCTCCCTCTCTCTGTGACCTGCTAACTCCATATAGACCTTCGTTCCCTCCACTCCCCCGCCCAGCCCTGCCCGCCCCACCATCAGGGGTCGGGCCTTCTGTCTCTCTGCCCCACCCTCTGGAACTCCATCTCATAGTCTCTTCGCCTCGCCCCGTACCTTTGCTCCTTCGAGGCCCATCTCAAGACCCTACTCTTCGACTGCGCTTTCAGTCACCCCCCTACCCCCTACCCTCCCTGCCCTCCACCCCTCCTGATCCCAACCCCCAGCTCGGGTCCAAATCCTTGACTGTCCAGCGCCTTGGGACGTCCTCCCGACGTGAAAGGAGCTGTGTAAATATCACGTGTTGTTGTTGTTGTTGTTATCTCCAGCCCAGCCCGGGATACTGGGAGCAAATCGATCAATTTGTGGGTGCACTCAATTCACTTCCGTGGTCATTGTTGGACCCTCTTTATGTCCAGTCGGGTGGCGTCTGACACAAACAGTGTTAGAACATCTCAACGAGTCCGTGTCCAGGGTCCGTGTCCCACCGACAATGCAACATCCTCACCCAACTCGCTCTCCCACCCAGATACACGGGTTCACTCCCGGAGACATCACCTAATCCGGGGTTAGGCTCCAGCCTGGAACTCACTCCTGGGAACTATCATTCCATACGTAACCCTGCAATAGCCCTGCTTTGGATTGTTGAAGGTGTGGGTGTGTATGAGTGTGTGTGTGGGGGGTGGGGGGGGCGGTTCTGAGTGTGTGTATGTGTGTGTGTGTGTGTGAGAGAGAGAATGTGTACGTAACTGTGAGTGTCTTTGAGAGAGTGCATGTTAGTGTGCGTGTGCATGTCTGTGAATGTGTGCATGTGTGGATGTGTGTGTGTGTGTGTCTGCGTGTCTGTGGATGTCAGTGCGTGAGAGAGACATGTGTGTGTCTTGAGTGTGTGTGTGTGTGAGCGCGTATGTTTGCGTGTCTTTGAGTGTGTGCGCGTGTGCGCGTGGCGGGTGTGTAAGAGAGTTTGTGAATGTGTGCGTTCGGCGTGAGAGCGTATCTGTGTGTGCGAGAATGCGTGTGCTCGTCTGTGTGAGTGCGTGTCTGTGAGTGCATCCCCCTGTTGTGTTTGTATAGTGGTGTGTGAGTAATGAGGGCTGATTGCCTGGGCTGGGGCTGGGGCTGGGGCTGGGGCTGGGGGTGGGGGGGGTGGGGGGGGGTGGGCTGGGGGCTGAGTTGGGCCAATGTTGGCCGGTGTTGCGTCAAGTCTTGTTGTTACAGTGCACTGGCTCGCGCTCAACTGTGGAAACAGCACTTTCCATTGTGGCCGTGGTCGGAGAGAGGAGGGAGAAGGGGGCGAGAGGGGGGTCAGAGCAGATGATCCCGTTGACAATAGAGACAGATAATGCCTTTCTCTTTTTTTTGACTGACGCAGCCTGTGTGCTTTTCAGGGTCTCGCTGAGACAGCAATGATTTTGTCCATTCTGCACTCACGTGATCGGGCCGGTCAGGGTATAAAACCCGGGCCTCAATGTGTCCAGGGCATCCGAACATCAACATTGGATTTTGAGGCTCCACTACAGAATCACGTAAGTATCTCCTGATGGCTCTCTCTCTCTCTCTCTCGCTCTCTCTCTCTCTCTCCCCCCCTTTCCCTTCCCTTCCTCCCTCTTCCTCCCTCTCTCCCTCGCCCCATCGATAACAGGTTGCAGAAAATTGCGTCGACGTAAGTGATGTATTGCACTGTGGCGTCCTGTAGCTCAGCGGTTATCGCGCTCGCCTCGCAAGCCAGAGGACCCTCGTTCGATTCCCGGGCGGGTCAGGGCGAAACTTTAGCCAAGTTTCCTTACTCCACACACACACACACACACACACACACGCACGCGCACACGCCTCTGTTTAACTAGCGGTCAGTAGGAACACAGTTGTTAGTCAATTGGCGGATCACTTTCCAGAGGTAATAATCACTTCAAAAAAATAATGATTTTGTCACTCAATCCACGACTGTCTGTGGGGACACTGCTGTGCGCAATCGGCTGCTGTGTTTCACCCACAAATGCAGAGCCACTCCACTTTACCGTATATTCTGTGAAGCAATTTGGAAAGTTTCAACGATTTGATAAGGCTCTATATTAAATGCAAGGATTATTATTCTTAATAGTGAGTGCTGGTGTGTGTGTGTGTGTGTGTGTGTGTGTGCGCATGTGCGCGCGCAGAGTTTTCCATGACAGTTTACAGCGCTTTGGGACATCCTCCCGACGTGAACGGCGCTGTACAAATGTAATTGTTGTTGTCATGCGAGTACGTGGAGTATTGCTTAATGGTTTGTGTGTCTGTACAATATTGGTGCGTGCTGGTGTGTGTGTATACTAAATATTGTGTGCTTGTGTGTATGTGTGTGTGTGTGTGTGTACATCAAATATTGCTTGTCGGGGTGTGTGTGTGTATATGCAGAATATTGTGTGTTGCTGTGCGAGTGTGTACTGTGTGTCAGGGTGTACGTGGGAATATTGCATGTCGGTGTGTGTACAGAGTATTGTGTGTTTGTGTATGTGGAGAATTGTGTGTTGGCGCGAGTGTGTACACAGCGTATTGTGTATTGGTGTGAGTGTGTACAGCGTATTGGGTGTTGGTGTGAGTGGGTACAGCGTACTGTGTGTTGATGCGCTCTCTCTCTCTCTCTCTCTCCCTCTCCCCCCCCTCTCTCTCTCTCGGCCTCTCTCGGTTGCAGTAAAACACATTGATCAAAGATGACGACTCAGCCAATGGACACGATGGGCCAATGGAAGGTCACCATGTGGGAGGAGGAGAACTTCCAAGGCAGACGCTGCGAGTTCATGATGGAATGCCCCAACATCATGGAGAGAGGCTTCAACAAAATCCGCTCCATCAAGGTGGAGTGTGGACCGTACGTAACCAATCCAGGACTTAATCTCCCCGACCCTGTTCCTATCCCATCCCATCTCCAGCCCAATCCCTATCTTATCCCATTCCCACATCCATCCCATCCCACAACCATTGGAACAGCGTACACAAGCTCTCACGCGTACGCAACCACACCTTTACAAACGGGTACGCCTATACACCCGCGCCTACACACAAACAGTCACTACACTTGCCAGTAGTTATCTTTGAGACGTTTGAACATGATGAGGTTCTATAAAAATACACCTTTCTTTCTTCTTTTCTTCCTTTCTTATGTCCCTAACCTCTGGGACTGCCCCCTTCTCCTTTGCCTCAATCCCTCCGGCCTTGCCCCCTCTTTACCAACCTAAACCCCTACCTACCTATCACGTGTGAAGTCTTCTGGCTCTGTCCACCCTCTGGAACTCCATCCCGGAGTCCCTCCGCCTCGCCCCCTCCCTCGCTTGTCTCCTTCAAGACAACTTCTCAAGACTTTCCTTTGGTCAGCCTCCCCCGCCCTCCTCCCCTTCCTGATCCCGACCCCCAGCTCGGGTCCAAATCCCCGACTGTCCGGCGCCTTGCGATGTCCTCCCGACATGAAAGGCGCTGTGTCAATGCAAGTTGTTGTTGTTGGCTCCCTTTAGCTGGGTGGGCTACGAGTATCCAGAATTCCAGGGACAACAGTTCATCCTTGAGAAAGGAGATTATCCTCGCTGGGATTCCTGGAGTGGAAACAGCGGCTACAGGACTGAGTACCTTCTCTCCTTCCGCCCCATCAAATGTGCCGTAAGTTCAGCACTTTCTTCCCGGCTCCGTCCCATCCGCGTTCCTGGAAATATCGAAGGATTTTAACTGAGGGAGACAGGGAAGAGTTCAGTAGATTGTCGAGTGTGGGTGGGAGGGAAGGAGGGAGGGAGGGAGGGAGGGAGGGAGGGAGGAGAGGTGAGGAGTCCCGTGCAGTGTAGACGGTTCAATTCCCGGGAGCGTGAGGCACAACCCTATAAGCTTCCTTACTCCACACACACGCCTCTGTCTCCCCGGCAGTAAGTCGGAATCTGGTCGTTAGTCGATTGGTGGATCGCTGGTGATATCCATTTAAAAAAAATAAAAAGAATAGTAATTTAGTCACTCAATCCACGACTGTTTGTGGGGACGCGGCTGTGAGCAATCGGCTGCCGCGTTTCTCCCACAAGATCCACAGCCACTACACTTTACAGTATATCCTGTGAAGCGCTTTGAGACGTCTCAATGATGTGATAAGATTCTGAGTCAAATGCAAGGATCATCATTATTATTATTATTACTATGTCTTGCGTTTGTGGCCTCTTAGATAGATTAGCTCAATTTCTGTTGGGAAACAATATTTCGGGGCGGGGGGGGGGGGCGGAGAGGGGTGGGGGGGGGGGGTCCCGTGTATAGTGTGGGACACGACATGTGCAAGCGATGGCCAGGATGGTGGAAGGTGAACTGGACGAACCTTGGTCTTCTTTCGTCCAGCAAATTGTTTTGTTAGGTTCTCTGGTGACCCATTCACAAGGTTCCCATTGTCGTTCCTGTCCTGTTTCTCTCTTTCTCTTCCACCCCCCCCCCCCCACCCCCACCCGGACCGTCCCCTCCTTCCCACCCCAGAACCACAGTGACAGCAAGGTGACCCTGTATGAGAACGAGGACTTTCAAGGCCGCATGTTTGAGTTGTGTGACGATTACCCATCTCTGCAAGCCATGGGCTGGTGCAACAAGGAGGTGGATTCCATCAAAGTGAACTCTGGAGCGTAAGTAATGTTTGTGGGGTTGGGGGGGGGATCGCTGCTGCGCGCGATTGGCTGCCGCGTTTCGCCCGCAAAGACACACAGTCACTACACGTTACAGTGTATCCTGTGAAGCGCTTTGGGACGTCTCGCTGATGTGATAAGGCGCTGTACCGAACGGCTGGCCGGGGACCTCTCTCAAACTAGTTGCAATGCGGGTTGTCGATGTGGAGCGTCCTGCAGCTATCGCGCTCGCCTCGCAAGCGAGAGGACCCGGGGTTCGATTCCCGGGCAGGGCCTTAAACCTTAGACAACGCCACACGGCTCTGTTGGTTCAGCGGTAACCCGGTTGTTAGTCGATTGGCGGATCACTTTCCAGGGGTAGCAAACCTTTCAAAAAAAAAAAAAGTAATAACGCTCAATCCACGGCTTTTTGCGTGGGGGGACGCTGCTGTGCGCAATTGGTCACTGCGTTTCACCCACGAAACACTCCACTGTGAAGCGCTTTGAGGCGTCTGAACGACGTGATGAGGCGCTGTACCAAATGCGAGGATTGTTAGTGTTAGAAAGCAGAGCCACTCGCTCACTCTAACCTTTGCTCTGTTTCCCCCTGGTTGTGCTCTAGGTGGGTCGCTTATCAGTATCCAGGGTACAGAGGATATCAGTACATCCTGGAGAGAGACAGACACAATGGAGAGTATAAGAACTATAATGAGTACAGCACCCAGGCTCACACCAACCAGATCCAGTCTATCCGTAGGATCCAGCACTGAGCTGTGAGGGACTCGCTGACAACACACAGAACCACCCACATCCACAGCTCGTCTGTGTAATGTAATCGTCCTGATCACTAATAAAAGCATTCTCCAAAATACCCGAACCTTCGCGTCGACAGTCTTTTGTCTGCAACGTGTACGCACAAGTTCTCCGCCGGGGAGTTTTTTTGGGGGATGAGGCTTGGGCGGTGCGGACCCACCTCAGGTATGTGGAGTCCCAGTAGCTCAGGGGTTAGACCCCTCGCCTCACGAGCGAGAGGACCCTGGTTCGATTCCTGATGGTGGCAAAAACTTGAGGCAAGTTTCCTTACTCCATTCTTTTGAACTCCACCCACACATTCCCTCCGCCTCGCGCCCCCCCGCCCCCCGCCCCCCCCCACCACCACTCCCTTGCCTCCTTCAAGGCCCATCTCAAGACCTTGCTCTTCGACCGTGCCTTTGATCACCCTCCTACTCCCTGATCCCAAACCCCAGCTCGGGTCCCCGTGACTGTCCAGCGCCTTGGGACGTCCTCCCGACGTGAAAGGCGCTGTGTAAATGTCATTTTGTTGTTGTTGTCATTCATGGCTGCTTATAACCAGCTGTGACAATTGCCCACAAAAACAGTCACTACACTTGTTCACAGCTTCACTGCTCTAAATAACGTGGGGCGGACAAATCCTTAAATTCCGTCTTTTTCCGAAAGCTGTTTCTCCACAGAAAATAAAAATAAAACAGTTTCCAAAATATATAATAATAATATTAATAATCTTCGCATTTGATATAGCGCTTTTCACGTCTTCTCGACGTCTCACAGCGCTTCACAGAATAGACTGTAAAGCGAAGTGACTGTATATTTGTGGGCGAAACGCGGCAGCCAATTGCGCACAGCGGCGTCTGCCCCACAAACAGCCGTGGATTGAAAATGACCAATTTATTATTGTTCAGTTTTTCGGAGAGATTATTATCCCTCCAAAAAATAAGGCGGCATTCAAGGATTTTCCACTATTTTAATAACAATAATAATCCTTACCTTTGATGCAGCGCCTTTCACATCGTTGGGACGTCTCAAAGCGCTTCGCAGAATGTACTGTAAAGTGTGGTGACTGTATTTTGTGGGCGAAACATGGCAGCCAATTGCGCACAGTGGCGTCCCACAAACAGTCGTGGATTAAGTGACCATATACATCTTTTGGAGGGATTATTACCCCCGGAAAGCATCCGCCAATCGACTAACAACCAGGTGTGTGTGTGTGTGGGGAGTAAGGAAACTTGCCTGAGGTTTCGCCTGACGGGAATCGATCCCGGGCGCTCTCGCTTGCGAGGCGAGTGCGCTGACCGCTGAGCTACGGACTCCACTTGGAGTGACATTAAAATTTTAAAGTTAAAGCGTCGCTGTGTCGACTGAAGCAATATTATTATGGTTAAAATACAAAGAGATGGAATTCGGGTGTAAGTTTTCCCAGAGCTCCCCCAAGTGGAGGTACACGAGCCAAGTTTTTCCTCGCAGCCACGCAATCACATCCTGGTTTGAATCCGGTTCCAGTTATCTCACGTTTCACTTTCCGCCTGTCTTGAGTGTGTGTGTGTGCGTATATTTTTAAATAAAAAAAAACCCCCACACAAAGGTCTTTGCTCTCCCACACCAGAGAGAGCGAGAGAAATGGGCTGTTGGAAAGAATCTGTTCTCACCGGGTAAAGGTAACTCACAGACACAGGTGCTGTTCATAGCTGAGACTTTGTTTAAATGAGTAAATGTGCGTATATATATATATATATATATATATAGTTGCTTTTGGGCCCCTCTCTCCCTCAGAAATAACCCACAGTGTGTATCTAAGATCTAACTGCGTTGGAGTTCGTCAGTTGATTGACTAAGTTTCTCTGTGGGCTGATCACCAGCTGAAGGCAACAGGTTTTCTGTGACTTTGTGACTGCTATTAACTGGAGCAGATTACTGCCTTCATGGGGGTCTGTGTGTGCATGTGTGTGTGCATATATATTTGGGCATGTGTGTGTATATTTGTACGTGTGTGTCTATATGTAAGTGGGTGTATGTGCATGTGCGTATGTGCGTGGGTACGTGTGTGTGAGTGTGTGAGTGTATATTTACACGTGTGTTTATTTGTGTGTTATGTATGTGGGTATGTGTGCGCATGTATCTGTGTGTATATGTGTACGCGTGTGTCTATGCGTGCACGCATGTGTGTGCATGCGTGGGCGTGTGGGTGTGTGTGGGGGTGTGAGAGTAAAGCAGCTTTTTCCGCCTTCAGTGATTTTACTTGTTATAATCTCAGTAGTTTTCTCAGCACTGACCGCCTGTCTGGGGTTTCTGCCCCAGTGCCCCCGGCAATCAGTCAGTCAGACATTGCCGTTTACCCCTCATCCTTTGTGTAACAGATTGTTGTGTTGAGTGTTTAATAATTATTACTGTATTATTCCTGTCCTGGGCACTCGTAACCGATGCCATTAATTCTCTACGTTATTTGCCCCCCTCTCTCTATCTGCGTGTGTGTCTGTCTGGGTCTTTCTGTGTGTGTGTGTGTCTGTCTGGGTCTTTCTGTGTGTCTGTCTGGGTCTTTCTGTGTGTGTGTCTGTCTGGGTCTTTCTGTGTGTCTGTCTGGGTCTTTCTGTGTGTGTGTCTGGGTCTTTCTGTGTGTCTGTCTGGGTCTTTCTGTGTGTCTGTCTGGGTCTTTCTGTGTGTCTGTCTGGGTCTTTCTGTGTGTGTGTCTGGGTCTTTCTGTGTGTCTGTCTGGGTCTTTCTGTGTGTCTGTCTGGGTCTTTCTGTGTGTGTGTGTCTCTGTCTGTTTGGGTCTTTATGTCTGTGTGTATGTCTCTCTCTCTCTCTCTCTCTGTCTGTCTATGTGTGTGTGTGTGTCTCTCCTCTCTGTTGTCTGTCTGTCTGTCTCTCTTCCTACGTCCTAGTTTCTTTTCTCTTTCCCCTCCTTTTTCTCTTCCTCTATTTCCTTCCTTCCTTGGGCTCTCTTCCCCCCCACCCCCCACCCCCAACCTCTCCCCCCCTCTCTCTGCGTGTACCAGCAATGCCGGACTCTCCCTTCGTTCCGGGCTTGTTTAAGTTGCCTGTACGTGTGTGTATGTGGGACACAGGCAGCTAAAGCAAGCCTGGAAACTGAGAGACAACCGCACTGGAGATGGACAGGCACAGCAGGCCAGCCGAGAGCGGAGTGACACCTTCCTCTTCCGCCGTGTCTCCGGTCACCCTCCTCCCCCCCATCCCACCCCACCGGCTCGGTGTCAGTCTCCGCCACTGTTACGCGCTCCCAGACTCTACCCTGTGTGAAGGGCGCTGTGTTCCTATCGTTGTTGTTGACACAGATGCGGCTACGATTTATCAATGGCAAGCCACGCGGGTTGAGCTGGTTAGTTCCCCCCCCACAACGCACACTCTGGGCTCCCCGCACCCCCCAAACCTCGGCTCTTGCCGACCTGCGCCTAATACTCTCCGGGATTAAGTAAGCAGGATCCATCTCTCCAGGGGGAGAGAGAGAGAGAGAGAGAGAGAGAGAGCGGATTCCATTCCGACAATCTCTCTCTGGGGTTTCCATGTGTCGGGGGAGATGTGGGGAATTCTCAGGTGGGTTCGGAGACTCTTAAGCTCAAGGTGATGGGTTTCACCAGATTTCTGCACAGTCTTAAACCCTAAAAATGAAGACCTGGAAAATCAGCTGCACAAGGATCGTAATAATAGCAACAACGATAATAATAATTATTAATACTGATATTTATTTTTGATGCTTCCTCACACTGTCCAAACATCTGAAAATCCCGGGAAGTGGAGCGACTGCGTATTTTGTGGGCGAAGCACAGAGGCCAATTTGTGCAATTTCTCAAACAGCCACAGAGTGAGCGACCAATTTATTTGGGGGGATAAACTGAAGGGTGTGGAGTGAGGAAACTTGCCCAATGTTTCAACCCCTCCCGGAAATCAACCCCATCCCTCTCTCTTGCACGGTGAGAGCTCGAACCGTTCTACACCACACCCTCGGGATAAGTTACCGGTTGGAAGGTGAACTCATGGGTTTGAGATTAACATACAATAACACGAGTGAGTGCAGTAATAACAGTAGCATCATTTTCCGGTTGAAACTGCAAACTATCGAGACATCCGTGGATTGAGTGACCACATTATTATTATTATTATTATTATTATTATTATTATTGTCTAATAAAATGGTTCCCCTTCTTTCATTCTATAACTCGGTGTGAGACCAGAGTGGTGGAGCTCTTCCGGGCAATTCACTACTCTATACAATTGCTGCCCCCAACGCGTCCATTAGTTTACCACCTGTACCGACCTACACGTTTGCGGAGCGAAACCTTCGGCAAGTTTCCTTACTCCACACACACACACACACACACACACACACACACCTGTGGGAACCCTGTTGTTAGTCGGTTGGTGGATGGCTTCTTAATAATCCCTCCCCCACCCCCCAAAAAAAATGTGGTCGACTCAACACACAACTGTTTCGTGGGACGCCGCTGTGTGCAATTGGCTACCGCTTTTCGCCCATAAAATACAGTCACTACACCTTACAGTGTAATCCCGCGAAGCTCTTTGAGACGCCTCCAAGACGTGATAAGACGCTAACACCAAACGCAAGGGCTATTATAGTAAGTACTGCGTAATAACATTAATTCATTGATACCATGTCGTAAATAATATTAAATATCAAGCACAGCAATATTAACATACTACAATTATATCATAAATTAGATTTAACCGTCGTATTAAACATTATAAACATCACAAATTTACTGTCCGTGGCAAGACGTATGTAATTGTAATTATGTAATTATGTAATTGTCCTCCAACTTATTTTTCTTTGAAACAAGAGCAAATTTACGCGGTTGGGAGGGAAACAAAAAAAAATCTACAACTAATATCAAACATCTAAATGTTTCCTTATCGGAGATTCAGGATAAACGTTAATTTTAAGGAGATGGAAAGGCAGTGAATGCATATGTTGTCTCCTCGTTCGGGCGCATAGCAACAAATCGCTGAGGGTCGAAAAATGCGACTCGGATGCGATAAAGATTCGCAGGCGATGTTATCACATCGAACGGCTTCGGCTGGAGCCGCTCGCAATTAAACTGAGGCGTTTAATCAACTTCAATCCTCGGTGTCCTCTACGCGTTTGGGGTTTAAAATCCTTTTGAAGGCGCATATGTTTTATTAAAAAAAATACTTTTGTCTAAAAATGAAGCGTTCAGTGTGTGATTTTCTACCAAAATGTGTGTGTTTTTTCCTCTCTGTCTTTCTTTCTCTCTCTCTCTCTCTCTTTCCTCACACATGTGTTAGGACAATTATGTAGAAAAAAAACATTAAATGGTAAATTATATGGTAAAATTTCTTTGTAAAACAACTGTCTCTGTGTCTCTCTCTCTCTTTCATACACATATTTTGGGGAAATTCTATGGAAACCACATATTATATAGTGAATTATACAGTCACAATTATTTGTAAAACTATATGTTTTTTTCTCTCTCTGTGTTTCTCTCTCTCCTATACATATTACATATTATATGATACAGTAAATTGTACAGTAAAATGTCTGTGCAAAATGATATATTTTATTTTATATAATTAAACAGCTTTGTCTTTTAAAAAAAAAGCCACTGTGTGTGTGGGGGATTTCTGTGGCAATATATTTTCTTTCTCTCTCTCTCTCTCTCGTCTGATTCTTTCTTTCTTCTCCCACATATCCCACAGCGAATTATACCGTTAAAAAAAACCTTTGTGAAACGGTGTATTTTATTTAACAATAAAAAAAAACAACTTTACCTGAAAAAAAAGCCACTGTGTGTGGGATTTCTTACCGAAATATACTCTCTCTCTCTCTCTCTGTTTCTTTCTCTCTCTCTCTCTCTCTCTCTTCTGCACGTTTTGGGGGGAAATTATAGAGTGAAATGTATTGATAAAACCATATATATAATTTTATTTGTTAAGCAAAGAGTCTGTCTGTAAAAACAATGTGTGAGAGAGAGAGAGAGATATCAGCCGAAAAATATTTTTTTCGCTCTCACCATTTCTCTCTCTCTCTATTTCTCTTTATTTCCCTCTCTCTCTCTCTCCTATACATATTATACAGTAAATTATAGAGTAAAACCTCTTTGCAAAACGATATGTTTTATTTCGTTTCACACAAAAAAGGGGTTTGTCTTTAAAAATAAACGTGTGCGTGTGATTTCTACTGAAATATATTTGCTCTCCCTCTCCATCTCTGTTTCTTTCTCTTTCTCCCTCTCTCTTATACACATCGTACAGAAAGTTATACAGTGAAACGATGCCTTTTCTTTCCTTTTCCAAAAAAAAGGACAACTTTGACTAAAGAAACGCGAGTGTGTGTGTGATTTCTGTCGAAATGTATTATTCTCTCTCTCTCTCTCTTATTTCTTTCTCTCTCCATCTCTCTCTCTCACTCTCTCTCTCTCCTATACCTATGATATAGTAAACTATATAGTAAAAAAAATTGTAAGACTATACATTTTCTTTTATGCAAAAAAAAACACGGTTTGCCTTAAAAAAAAGTGTGTGTGTGATTTCTACCGAAATATATTTTCTCTGTCTCTCTCTCACTCTCTCTCTCTCACTCTCTCTCTCTCTCCTCTATATATCTACATTTAAGGGGAATTATATAGTAATACAGAAAGGCTCATTTTAAGGCTCATTTCCTCTGGAGGTTGGAATTGTTTTCCCAGAGTCATGGAGGCGGAATGAGGGTAAATATTCGTTCAGAAAAGCCGACAGCCCTCTATTTTTTTTTCCTTTATTATTTTTTTTTTTTTTTTTTGCACAGGTTTTTAGTCAGTGTTGACAGTGAAGTTTAAAGAGCCCTTTAAACAGTGGCTGTGAGTTTGGCCACTTAACCACATCGTGGAAACGCCTCTCCCCTCAACCTGGACGTGGATTTTATTAATTTCTGATGGGGGGGATGTGATAAGGGCTTTAATTCTCTGCTCAGAGCCCCAGTGAGAGATCTGCCTCTGAGATCTCTTCCCTCTTTTTTTTTTATTGCTCTTTATGTGACAATATGACATTGTTCCTGTGGTTCTCATTAAAGCGCCATTCGCTATCTGCTCAGGAAATGACTCTCGTATTATCTCTCTCTCTCTCTCTCTCTCTCTCTCCATCTCTCCCCATCTCTCTCTCATCCGCACGCGGTTGCCTGGCAACTTGGGTACCAAAAGAGGAGGGGGATGGAGGGAGGGAGGGAGGGAGGGAGGGAGAGGGGAGGAAATGTGTGTTTTATTATTATTAAAGCTCATACAATGGTTGTGAGTTGTGTTTGACTCAGAAGCAGGACATGAAACAGCCTCCAACCTGCCCCACCGCCCTCACCCCAGCCCGATATAACTTGCTGTTCAACATGTACCTGCCAGGTACACCCTCTCCCTCTCTCCCCTCTCTCTCTCTCTCTCTCTCCTTCTCTTACTGATTCACTCCCTCTCTCCTTCACCGTCTCCCCCTTTTCTGCACTGCTTCGTTCTCTCTCTCTCATTCTCTCCCTCTCCTTCATTCCCCCCCTCTCTCTCTCTCTCTCTCTGTTTCATTCTCTCCATCCCCTTCTCTCTCTTCTTTACTGCCTCTTTCTCTTCTTTACTGTCTCTGCCTCCTTCTCTCTCTCCTTTACATTCTTTCCCTTCTCTCATTCTCTCTCCCTCTCTCTCTCTCTCTCTGTGTGTCTCTCCTGCCAAAGTTTCCTTCTATTCAGCACATTTCTTTCTTTAACTCACTCTCATACATTCTCTCTCTCTCTTTCACTCTCTCTCACCCCTTCTCTCTCTCTCTCTCTCTCTCACCTGAATGCTGTAGAGACGTGTCTGATCGCTTTTGCCCTCTTTCTCTGCCTCTTCGGGTGCTTTATAACGAGAAAAAAAACCTTCTGATGTCGGAAGTGAGTTTACAGGCTTTTCCTGAACGTGTTTCCTGAACGGGGAGAAAGTTTAATAATAATAATAATAATCATCATCATAAAAAAAAACCTCCGACAGAAAAAAAAAAGGGGCTGAAAAATCGTACGTCGGGAGAGAACCTTTAATCCTCTCCTCCAACCCATTTGATTTCAATCCATCACTTCATCCCATTTTTTTATTAAAAAAAAAGCAAAACAGGGATTATTTAATTGAAAAAAATAGAAATCCTTCACTACATGAAGCTGTTTGGAGCAGGAGGGCGGCTCGTCTGCGTCTGATTTTAATTAATATTAATTTATTTCTCTGCTTTAATCCCTGAAATCAACTCTTTCTCTCTGTCTCTTTAGACACAGGACATGATAATTTGCTGAAGGAAGGGAAGAGTGGGACCTGGGGAGGTATCAGTCCCGGGGTGCAGAAAGGTAAGTCGCAATTATCATTAGTTATTAATAATATTATTAATAATAATGCGTTATTATTTAGAATGATTCATATTTAGGGCAGGACCCCCCGGGGAAGGCGAAACCCCAGGCAAGTTTCCTTACTCCGCACGCCTCTGTTTACCCAGCGGTAAGCAGGAACCCCGATCGCTTTCTGCGGAGTAATAATCCCTCCAGAAAATAATTTGGTCGCTCGGTCCATCATTATTTGCTTATTATTTTTTGGGAGGGATTATTACACCCAGAAAAGCGATCCGCCAATCGACTAACAACCGGGTTCCCACCGACTGCCGGTAAACACCGTGTGGATAAGGAAACTTGCCTGAGGTTTCGCCCCTGACCCGCCCGGGTATCAAACCCGGATCCTCTCGCTCGCTCGCGAGGCGGACGGTCTGACCATTATGCTATAGGGCTCCACTCGCTCTGTTTTATCGGAGTCCACGGAACAATTTCCCTTCTCTTTTTTTTTGTCGGTGTCAATGGAGTGAGAATGGGAGAGTGAATTGTTATCATTAGTATTGCTTAGTTGACAATGTTCTACATAATAATAATAATATTAATAATAATAATAATAATCCTTGCATTTGATACAGCATCTTATCACATCTTCGAGACATCTCAAAGCGCTTCACGAAATATAGTGTAAAGTGAATTAACTGTGTATTTTGTGGGCGAAACAAGGTGTATTGTTATATTATTTATGATTCTATTATTATATTATACACTTACTATGCAAGCATTTTACTTCGTTGCTGTTTGCGTGACATTGTTCTGTGGAAATTGGCTGCAGTGTTTGCCTACAAAATATTGCGGTAAAGTAATTATTATTTATTAGTAATAGGAAAGCACATTAACACAACCCTCTGGTGTGAAAGGTGCTATACCAAATGCTAGGAATATTCTTCTTCTTCTTTATTTCATTTACTTTTCCAGATTATCGCCCACTCTTTGAGACCGTGTGATTAATGTAGCGTTGCCTGGCTTTTGTCTGTATTGTTTTGAAGTTAACGTTACTGGCACAGACTGTTTCTGTGTCCCTTTATTTTGCATTACAAATCCCTTCACGCTCTGGCACCTCTCTACCTCTCCGACCTGCTTACTCCCCAACCCACTACCCACCGCCTCTGCTCGGTTGGCTCTGTCCTCCTGCTTGTCCCCAGTGCCCTGCGTTTCACCATCGGTGGCCGCGCTTTCAGCCACTACCCCTCACCCCCCCCACCACCCAAATCTTTGGAACTCTCTCCCTCAATCCCTCTGCCCCGCCCCCTCCTTCCCCTTTTTCGGATCAGTAGCACTGTTCGAAAATTCAATCCACAGCTGTTTGTGGGGACGCTGCTGTGCACAATTGGCTGCTGGTTTCGTCCACAAAATACACTGTCACTACCCTTTATCGTATATCCTGTGAAGCACTTTGAGAACGTCTCGACGATGTGATAAGGCACTGTATCAAATGCGAGGATTATTATTATTGTTTGAAGGAGAGACTCAGCGTGTCATTGAGATGTCTCAAAGCGCTTCCCTGGATCGGCAGTTCCCCTGATGCCCACTTTGCCCTCTTCTCCCCCACACCCCCCACCACCCCCTTCACTCTCTCTCCGTAGGCAGTGGGCAGATCCAGCTGTGGCAGTTCCTGCTCGAGTTGCTGTCGGACAGTGCCAACGTGAGCTGCATCGCCTGGGAGGGCACCAACGGGGAGTTCAAGCTGACGGACCCAGACGAGGTGGCGCGGAGGTGGGGCGAGAGGAAGAGCAAGCCCAACATGAACTACGACAAGCTGAGCCGCGCCCTGCGCTATTACTACGACAAGAACATCATGACCAAGGTCCACGGCAAGCGATACGCCTACAAGTTTGACTTCCACGGGTTGGCGCAGATCTGCCAGCCCTCCAGCACCGAGCAAGCTCTCTACAAGTTCCAAACCAACCTCACCCACATTCCCTTCGCTGGCATCCCCAAACTCAACTTAGTCACCTCCAATGTCTCCCCTTCCAGCTTCTCGTATTGGTCGGGCTCAGCTCCAACTCTCTATCCCGGGCATAGCCTCCAACCGCCTCCGCCCTTCAGCCCAGTCACCACCTCCCACCTGGGCGCCATCGGTAACCTCGCCAACATCAACAGCCACTATCATTGAGCTGCCTAACGCTAAGGGGGGGGGGGGGGGGGCAAAGACGCCACGATTACCCACTCTAATCGTGGTAATCATGCATTAATCATGGAAGTAATAACACTAATAATCCTTTATAGCACTTTATCACATCGTATGTACTGTAAAGCGTAGTGACTGTACGTTTTGCGGGCGAAACGCGGCAGCCGGTTGCGCACAGCAGCGTCCCCCACAAACAGTCGTGGATTGAGCGACCAATTCTCCTTTTTGTTGGAGGGATTATTACTCCCAGAAAGTGATCCCCCAATCGACTACCAACTGGGGTTCCGCTTCAATGCTCTAATTGCTGTGCGCAATTTGGTTGCCGTGTTTCGCCCCCAAAAATACGCAGTCACTCCACTTTACAGCGTAGCCTGTGAGGCGCTTTGAGACGTCTCAAGGACGTGATGAGACGCTGTATCAAATGCAAGGATTATTATTATTATTATTATTAATATTATCACCACGTTGGCACAGGGGCATCCAGTGACGAGTTGAATCCTAATGTAAATAAGGGGAGTGTCTTTTTTTGAGGGGGTGGGGGGGGGGAAGTGTTTCAGCCATCAATTGCTTGTAGGTTAAACACGCGGACTGAGCAAAGGGTTTGACCCCTTCACCGCTGCCTCGACCACTCATTCGCTGCCGGTGAAATAAGACCGAAAGTTACTCTCACTGTTCTGTTCTGTAAAGCTATGGACAAACCGTCAGCATTGTTCAGGTTCTCTGTGTGTGTGTGTGTGTGTGTTTATGATTGTGTTGTGTTTTTGTTTGAAGACATAAGACTCCAGCAGTTACCCCAATGCACACCCTGGGGTCAGGACATCAGTATCGTCACTGGGGGCAGGGAACCCTCCCGCTCCGTTCCTGCTAACCCCGCGGCCCAAGCCCTAACGGGGAGGGTGGTCCTAGCTGCACAAACAGCAGGAAAGTTTGGCCAGACATTGATCTCAATGGGCAAGCTGTGTGGGTTCAGCTGGTTAGACTCCAGCAGATACCCCAACGCACACTCTGGGCTCCCCCCGCCACCCCCTCACCAAGCCTTGGCTCTTGCCAACCTGCGCCTAATACTCTCTGGAATTAGGTAAACTGGGAGAGAGGAGAGAGAGAGAGAGAGAGAGAGAGAGATTCCGACAATCTATCTCTGGGGTTTCTATGTGGAGGTGGGAGGCCTCTTGAGCAGCGGTGATGGGTGTCTTAAGAATCCAAAAGCAACAGAATTGTGGGGTCTGATGGGTTTCCGCTATTCCTAGAGAGCTGTTGATGGGACAGACTGACTGATATTATAAACGGTCTCGCTGTATTTCATATGTGACTCGCGCTTTTCACGAAGTCGGCACAGACACGACGGGCCGAACAGCCGTCCCTCTGTGCTGTATAATTCTATGATCGTGTGCGAGGCTTTGCTCTGCAGTGTGTGTCATTTTTTTGTACATATTTAATGTGAAACCGGTTGGTTCCTTTTGCGTGATGTCTCGGGTGATGTCTGAAGTAAAAGCAACGCTATGTTCCAGGTGTGGTCACTTTATTTGCTGGTGAAATAAACCCACGATGTTACGTTTCAAATACGCAGCCCCGCTAGGTTTGTGGGTCAGTCCGGCGCAGTGGGTAAAGCTCTCGTCTCCGAGTCAGGGTCAAGCGCCCCCACATAGTCTAAGATGACCCTCCGGTGGGACGAAACCTCAATCAAGTTTCCTTACCCCACCCACACCCCTCTGTTTACCCAGCAGTAAGTTTCACCAACAAAATTATACCCAGCAGTAAGTAGGAACCCGGTTGTTAATCGATTGGCGGATGGCTTTCCGGGGGGTGATACTCCCACCTCATTAAAATAATAATAATTTGGTCACTTAATCCACGACTGTTTGTGCCACGTCGCTGCGCGCAATTGGCTGCCGCGTTTCACCCACAAATTATACAGCCAGTGCACTTTCCAGTCTATTCTGTGAAGCGCTTTGAGGCGTCTGAACGCGAGATCAAAACGCAAGGGTTATCATTTATTATTAATAATAAATTCAGACTGGAAACGAGATGACTCCGAGGAGACGCTTGTAGATAGAGACGGACATGAGCTGCTAAATGTCCTACAGAGAAACATTTTCAGTCACTGAAAACAGCCGAAGGCTTGGAGTCAAAGAGCGCGGGTTCAGGGTGTGAGAGGTCAACGTCAGGACAGACACCAGGAAGTATTTCTTTACACCGATGGGAATTTAAAGGTTGGAGCAAGGTCACCAGGAAGGGTGGTTGAGGTCAGGACACTGGGACTCATTTAACCAACGGGTTGATGGGAGGATAAGGGTGGCTGGTGGTAGATGCTGGAAGGATGAGATCAAATGGGTCAAAGGACCTTCTTCATCCAAACCCATCGCTTGAGCTTGTGGACCAGTAGGGAAGAGTTTGGAAAGGAAAGCTTGGCCCGGTGCCAATATTGTGCCATTAGATGTCAGAGAAACCATTCCGAATGGGCCCCAAAACCCGGAGGCACTCTTTTCCCAGGAAACACCGGAATGGAACGGGAGTCGGGAATAAGTCCTCTCGACGCGAACCAATCCCTGGATGTAGGCGCAGTGAGTAGAATATATTCTTAAAGTTGACCTCGGCCTTGCCCCACTTCCTTCCAGGTCACGCCCGACCGTGGACCGTGGCTCAGTGTCGAGCTCCATCACTGGGACTCTGCCCTGAGTGGAGGGGCGCTGTGTAAATGCAAGTTGTTGTTGTTGACTTTGAGTTAGTAAGGCAGCCTTGCTGATTAAATGCCTTGTGACCTGTGCATCAGCCTGGTTCAGTGGTAGCGCTCTCTCTCTCTCTCTCTCTCTCTCGTCTCTCAGACAGAAGGTTGTGGGTTCAAGCCCCCACGTCAACAATCCCCCAAATAAAATTGGTCACTAGTTTTATGGCTGTTTGTGGGACGCCGCTGTGCACAATTATAAAATTAATGGTGAAATCTTAGGCTGGTTTCCTTCCTCCTCACGCCTCTGTGCGTATTTATTTACACATATTTACCCAGCGGTAAGTAGGAACCAGCTTGTTCGTTGATTATAATACAAAATTACATTTGTATAGTGCCTTGCATTTGATATCGTGCCTTATCATGTCTTTGAGATGCCTGAAAGCGCTTCACAGAATATACGGTAAGGTGTAGTGACTGTGTGTGCATTAGCTGCCGCATTTTGCCCCTCAAAACGCACAGTCGATCCACTTTACTGTGTATCCTGTGAAGCGCTTTGAGACGTCTCGAAGAAATTATAAAACGCTGTATCAAACGCAAGAATTATTATTATTATTATTATAGGGTTAAGAAAGGTATTTGCCACCAGAGGTCGACAGACGCCACTGTTACAGCCATAGACACATACATTCCAGTGGTGACATGAGCCGCCTGCAAACACATTGACGACATCCACACAAAATGGCATCTCTCTCTCTCGCTCTCTCTCGCTCTCTCTCTCTCTCCCCACCCCACCTTTGTCTTTCTCCGTAATCCAAGGATTTATCTGTCTGTAGGCCTATCTCTCAATCTAATAAGAATAATAATACCTTGCATTTATACAGCGCCTTTCGAAAAAAATAAGGGACTTATTAAGTGCCTTAGCGAATAGCAATTGATTTGGAAAGACAGTGAATGCTATTATGGAGACAAATGTGGCAGCTGATATGAGCTCGTGACGTGCCATGAAACATCAATGAGATTTGCGCTCTCTCTCTCTTTATACCTCTGGTTATTTATGTATCTTTCTTTCGATCTATCTTTCTGGCTCTTTTTGGTTTGCTTTCTGCAGCAGCCGCTCTTTCCGCCGGTCTGTCTGTCTTGTTCGTCTGTCTGTCTGTCACTTTTTAATCTTTCTCTCTGCCTCCCTCCGCCTCCCTGGCTTTTTCTTACTTATTCCATCCTCTGAATCGCTCGTTCACTCCCTCTCCACCTTTAAAGCCCACCTTAAAACCTCTTTGACCATATTTTTGGTCACACCTTCTCCCCCCTCTCACCCACCCTTTCAGAACCCCACCTCCCTCTTGTCTTGGTTGCCCAATCAATTGTGCCAGACCTACTTGTGGAGTCCAATCGTGTAGTGGTTCGAGGACCTGTGTTTGATTCCCGGGCAGGGCAAAACCTTCGGCAAGTTTCGATTAACAACCAGGTTCCTACTTAATGCCAGAGGCATGTGTGTGTGTGTGTGTGTGTGTGTGTGTGGAGTAAAGAAACTTGCCAAGGTTCCTCACTGACCCGCCCGGGAATCGAACCCGGGTCCTCTTGCTTGCGAGGCGAACGCTCTAACCACTAAGTACGGGAATCCACACGCAACGAAAAAGGCGTTTCACAGTCAAGTCTTATGTAACCAGTCGCCTTAATACATCGGATTGCTTCTGCCCTTCTGGTAAGCCTGGCTCACGCTGCAAGATCTGGTGTTGTTACGTAACCCCCTACACACACACACACACATACGCATTAATTGGTTCATCCACAACGGTAGCAACAATTCTTTAATCTGGCGGCCTGTTCTCTTTGCCACACCAATCCTCGCTCCCCTGACAACGCCACCGTCATTTACTACCCACTTATCTAACGCCTGGCACAGTCGCCCCCGGCTGCGCTCACAGTCACAGGCTCTGAGTGAACGACTGGTTTTTAATCTGATTGTCCAGACACCAGACCAGTCGCTGGGGGCAGGGAATGCTCCCACTCAGCTCCTGTTCACCCCGCAAGCCAAAGCCCTAAGGGGTAGGGTGGTCCTAGCTGGACAAGCAGCGGGAAAGCTGGCCAGACAGCAATATCAATGGCCAAGCTGCTCAGCATTAGCTGTGCAGTTTTAGTATTTTGTGGATGATAAGCGGCAGCCGATTGTGTCCCACAAACAGTCGTGGATTAAGTGACCAGATTTTGATTTGGGGCGCGGGGGGTGGGGGGGGGGGGGCACGAGGGAGGGATTATTACACCAGGAAATTAATATAGAGTCAATGTCTGATGATAATTAACACTAATATCAGATGATTTT